GGCTGAAGGCAGCATTTACAGTATCTCTAGCTCCCTTCTGAAGCATGGTTTCTACCCAGCTGCAGATAGAAGCACTCAGAGAGTTCGCAGTGATCCTTCTGCTCAAGCCACTGCCTAGAACAGCTCAAGAGAGCATCCAGACTGGGGTCCTGTCATCCCCGGACCTCCTAGCTCCTCGGGTGATTCCATTTTGCAACCAAAGCATCAGGATCTTCTCTGGGCACTGTTCCACTGTGGATCACGGAGCCAGATTATCTTTTACAAAGAACCACATTTTTTTCTTCTCTGAAGTCTTCAGAATGCCTGCCACGCATCTCAGGTTGAAGTGCACGCACCCCCTTACCTCACCCCACTGCATAGTGGGCAACAATTGCATCCCAAGCCACACTCTGTCCTGCTCGCCTTGATAGACTCCTACTGACCTCCAGATCTACAGGTGACACCCATTTTTGAAACATCCTCAAACCATCTTTCCACATCCCGGGGAGGCATTTCCAAACCTAGTGTGATGCTCCCTAGTCTACAGAATCTCAATTTGTTCTGCATTTGACAAGTAAAGCTATCGTCTCTGGTCCTTCTGTTTTACGATGGTTCCTCAGGTTTTGACAGGTTTTCAGTAGCTTACACACAAATTCACATTTAAAACAGGTTTGGTTTCCGTGTGTACTGGAGTTGGCAAGGAAAGCAAAGCCTGAGTCAGCTCTTGGGGCTGTGCGTTGATTTTGATCAAGTGGAAAGCAGTGAGGACGAGAGGAAGGGGGTGGGGGATAAAGGGAGAAGAAGGAGAGGAGATGGGGAAAGAGTCTGTGGGAACACTAGGTGTACCTAGGCAGTGTCCCTTAGAGGCAGAAGCAGATAAGTAGCCCAACCCAGAGCCCTGGATCGGAAAAAAATGTCTCCCTCACCCCTACTGGACTCCCCACAGCTGGTGAGGAGGAAGACCAAATGGCTCTTGTTGGGGTCTTCTAGACACTGATTGGGTTTTTTTTCCTGTGTGATCATTGCAGATGGGGTTTTCATCTCTGAACCTCCGAAATCTTACAACACACCCCCCAAACGTAATAATGTTTGGTGAAAAACTAAAGGAAAGAATGGGTTAGTTTCCAGGTTGGTTGGTTTATTTATTTAAAGTAACAGTTAACAATGCTTCTATTCTTGTTGGGCGTGGAGGGGGGGAGAAAGTCAGCTCTCTGCCCAGTTTGTGAAGTCACCCTCATGTCCCACTTGCAAAGGCGGCCCAGTCTGCCAGGAGTTATTTTTAAAGTTCGACTCCCTAGCTGCTGAATTCCAGCCCCAACATCGAGTGAACTGGCTAAAACACACCGGAAGCTAAATTTAGCCTGGAGCACAGCTCAGTTCGTCCTGAGATTCCCCTCCAGGCCTCTTAACAACATCCAGCAACGGATCACAACAGGTTGGAAGACATCTTCCAGTTTAAAGTGCAGGGCAAGCTCAAGTTGCCTCGGGTTATAGCCACGCCAGAGCCCTCTAGAAAAGGACCTGATTACCACCCATTTCAGGAGAATGAGATGGCGCCACGCCTGCATTTTGAGAAAGGGAGAACCAGAAACACTTACTATGGCTGCTGGGATGCTGGAATGAGCGTGGGGGGAGAGGAGGGGAGCTGCAGCTCATGGCTAAGCCCCTCCAGCCACACTATCTCACACCAGTGAGTTTTTTGCCTCTCTACACAGCCAGCATCCCTTACTTACCTATGTAGAGGCATCCCTGATGGACAGACAGACAGCCATATACCTCTCTATATTTAATCTATCCTGAGGCCCTCCTCTGTGGAGCAACTGAATTCAAGCTTCACGGGCCGTCTCCAGCCATTCGGTCAGCCAGTGCAAGCCCACCTGTGCCTGGGACTCAGGGCTGGAACAAGAACAAAGACAGGTATACTGTCTTCCTTGTCACTGTGGCCGAATGCTCAGGAAAATCAAGCCAGGGAAGGAACGGCTTCTCGGGGCTCAAAGCTTGAAGGCACAGCTACTTAGGTAAAAGTGACTCTAGCTGCGGCTGCAGAGGCCTGGGGCAGGCGGCTGCTCATACAGTCCACAACCAGGAAGCAGAGAGAGAGGATCGCTGGTGCTCAGCTCGCGTCCTCCTTTCCACTCAGTCCAGGACTCCAGATAAGAGGGTGCTGCCCGCACTAAAGGCGGGTCTTCCCACCTCGGTTAGACCTTTTAGGAAACGCCCTTGTAGGCACACGCAGAGGTTTGTATCCATGGTGATTTTAAATCTAGTCAAATTTACGATGAAAACTAACCCGATACCCAAAATACGTCATTTAAAGCATTATATTCCATTCCTGGGCCTAAAGCTTCATTTTCATCTCATGGCGCAAAGTGCATTTAACTCATTTCCAAAAGTCTCCACAGTCTCGAATGGTCCCAAAACTGTTCGAAAGTCCAGGACTAAGCAGCAGGCTCTGTGGATAAAACACTTGCCACACCAGGGCAAGGGCATGAATTCAGATTCCCAGATGCCCACGGAGAAGCCAGGCAAAAGCATGAGGGCTGCATGCAATTGCAGTACTGAGAAAGCAGAGACAGGGGGGATAGCCTGGGCAAGCTGGCTACCCAGGTCGCCTAAATTAGTAAGCTCAAAACAGAGATCAAAGGAAACCCTGGGCGGCAAAGCACAGTTGCTTGGGGACTCCAGGAAGGACTCAGGCAAAAGCATGAGGGCTGCATGCAATTGCAGGACTGAGAAAGCAGAGGCAGAGGGGAAAGCTGGCTACCCAGGCTGCCTAAATTAGTAAGCTCGGGATTCAGTTAGAGACACGGCCTCAATAAATAAAATGGAGGGCTACCATTAATTTCAGGCCTCTGCATACATGTGCAGTCTACAAGTATGCATGGCGGGAGAGGGAGAGAGGGAGGGAAGGAGCTCAAAATCTCACCTGAGATTCAAGGCAAACTCCTCTTCTCTTACTTCTTGTTGCATTTGTGTGTCGGGGAGTTGTGTGCAGGTCAGAGGAGAGCTGTGTGGAGTTGGTTCTCTCTACCGACCTTGACGTGGGTTCCAGGGATCGGACATGGGTTGACAGGCTTGGGGAGCAGGCGCTTATATGCCTAGCCCCCCCTACTGTCCCTCAAGACAAGCTCTTATCTATGAGTTTCTGTAAAGTACAAAAGCAAGCTGCACATTTCCACTATCCAATGACACACAGTAAATGTTATCAGTCTGAAAGAGAGAAGGCAGGAAGAGAGGCACAGCAATGGAAGACCAGGCTGATGCAAGACCAAACACCAAGTCCTAGAAGATGGGACAGACATCAAGTCCTGTAGCTCCATAGCCACTGTCTGAGCTCCAAACCCTGCCTCCAGCTCTGCAGCCTTCAGCACACCTTGATTCTCCTGGGCCAACTCCACCCTGTGCCTGAAGGTCTCTTTGGTGACCATCCAATGATCCTAGCATCACTAATTTCCTTAAGTCTCCACTGAAACTCAGGCTTCACCATCACAGCATTGGACAGTGGCTTCCCATGACCTCCTTGAGATGAAGCTAACCCGCCACACAATGCAGGACCGTGGCTGCCTTCTCAAACCTTGGTACAAGTCTCCATGATCCTCTCATGCTTGCTTCTTTCAGGACCACAAAACCAGTGCCAGGTGGATCTACACTACAAGTTTTTTCTGTCAACCTGAGGTGTAGCCTGGTTCCCTTGAAACACAGCCTTAGTGGCCTGTCTTTCCTCAGAAGCCACCTACCTTTATTGGAGACATACCACTAATTGGGCTAAGCTCACTTGTTAAGGTGTTCCAGGGATCCCTCCATCTATGCTTCCCAAGTCCTGGGGATGCAAGCTTCCGTCGCTACACTCGACTTCTTTTTAACATGGGTTCTGGGTATCGAACTCAAGTCCTTTGCTTGCAAAGCAGGCACTTAACTGATTGAGCTATCCCCGCAAGCCCCTTGAAACTGTCAACCATTTCTCCATGGAGAAACCACTGTTAGGACCTGAGCCATACACACACTGGGAACAAAGGGCTGGGATGGGCAGACAGCTTTCTTCTTCAGCCTCCCTTGAGTGATTCAAAGGAGTCATCACATCCTTCCTTCAGCACCTAACCGTGTTCCAGCCACAGGACCCTCTCTGCAAAGCCGTTCCTCGCAGTTCAGCCACAGCTCTGAGCAGATCACACTGTCAGTAAGATGTGGGATCTGGGCAGTGTGGCGTGCTGTACAGAGGACAGGTTCTGAAACACAAATGTAATGGGCTCGGATCACAGCTTGACCACATCGTTGAGAAGTCCTGGCCCTGCCTCATTCTCTCCAAGCCTGTATCCCAAGTGGACGTCCTAATCCTTAAGTAGCAGCAGGCATGCACTCCATGCCTCCTGTGTCTTTCCTCTGAACTTAAGACCTCGATTTACCATTTCTAAATATGGCAATGTGTTTTAATGTGAGAGAATATTATCTGCTAAGCATTCTGGCCACTGAGGTCATCTTTACAAACTAATCACTTAACCTGCGCAAACAGGTATCAGCGATGTTGTGTAAGGCTGGGGTCACCTGACCAAACTGTGAATAAGAGAAATGCTATGCCTATCTGTCAGCGTAAATGCATGTGCCTGGTGTCTGTCTTTGACTAGACGTGTGCTGAACAGCGCTGAGACAGGCAGAAGCATCCTCTTCCCCTTTGGGGTTAGCATCTATACAATCACAGGGGTGATTGAGGTGGTGACATCTCGGTGGTCACATGACCATGGTCATATCAAGTAACCATTATCACATCGGAGCCCACAAGAGTTATAAATACACTGCCATGGGGCTCCAACTGGAGGACAATTGAGTAATGACAATAGAAATAGCCCACTCTCCACAAGGCCATCTTCCTCTGCTAAAGAACCTGTCTGAAATCAGCTGCTCTGCCATGGAGAGACAACCAGAGTCAGCTGGAAGGAGATTGCAGATCTTTCAGAAGATGAACAAAAAACCTCACATTAGAACTGGGACCCCCGAACTTGAGTTCCATGCTGCACTGGTCACAGGAGACCTGGACCATATTCGATCCCTCATGGACCAGTTCTTCCAGGATGTCAACGTAGTATTTGAGATCAGTAATGGAGAGATGGAATGGCGGGTGACATCCTTGGCCACCTTTGGGCTCTCAGGTACCCTGCTTCCTCTAAAGCTCCGCTGTGCCTCTTTAAGCTTCAACTAACACTCTGGGGATGTGTACATCCTGTGTGAAGGGTGAGGACTCAGTACCTTGGGGACATCTGTTACAGGAGGTCTATAAACAAATCTGTTCTGGTGGGTGACGGGCATGAAAAGGAAAACAATGAGTGAGGGACATCCACCTATTGATGCTGGGTGTGTCTCTTGCCTTGAAAGCAAAGCCTTGGTTTAACATTGATCTTGGCAGCTGACGGAGCTGCAGAAGACTAGACAGACCTCTGACACCAAGCCCTGTGTGAGGTCCTTCTATGAATCACTAAACACCACTGTAACTTGGCAGGGCAAGCGGTGTCCTAAAACCCAAATGGTATCAGCAGAGGGAAGAACACTAGGCTCCCAGCAGACCCTCTGAGAACCTAGAGAAGCCTGAAAACAAGGAAGAGAGGGGAAGTAAATCCATAGATCCGTGTGTTGTGTGTCAGGGCACAGATCCTCCCTCTCAGATGTGGCCGCTATGTGCTGAGCCATACAGATATCCCCAGGCTGTGGGGCTGGCAGGCTGTACTGAACACCCATCTGCCATGTGCTGCTGTGTTGAAATCCACCACAGCTCTGGCAGACTATGGGAATTTGAAGATCTGTAGCCAGTGTCCCAAGTCCCAAGCCGGTTAAGAATGTGGAAAGGGAGGGTCTTTACCAACATGTTTCTGTTTATACCTCTCTCCAGAGGGGGAGTTGAACCCCAAACACTGCTATGCAGTTTGTAACAAGCCTGAGGCCTGCTGGCTGGGTGGTGTCAATCCTAGTCTGACCGCACTGCCTCCAAGTGGAATCTTTCTGGGCATCCCGTCACCTGCCTCTGACCAAGAATGTCAGCTGCTTCAATGCTAGCTAAGCCACGACTGTTGTCCAAATCACATGCTACCCAACCCTAGACTCACATGTGCTACCCTCCCCTGCGCCCCCCCCGGGGGGGAGGAGGGAGGTGTTAGTTAGTTTAACCCATTTTTTGCATGTTGTCAAAAGTCTAAAATCTAGTTCCTTTTCTCCCCTGTAGTCTTTTGAGTCCTATGTTCTACAACTTTTCTAGAACACATCCGCAGGGCAGGACATCAGGACATGCTGAAAGCAGGCCACCAGGGAAATGGCAGTCCAGTTAGTCAGCCAGGGCTCAGTGAGAACCAGGAAAGCAGGGGCTCGGGGCTACTTGGATTTCCTGTTCTTTTGCCCAGTCACCTGACTCCCCAGAGTAGAAATAGCCTCTGGGAACATTGATTCTTGAGACAGAGTCTCTCATTGGTCTGAGACTTGTCAACTAGGCTAGGCTGTGGGGTCAGCCGGCCTAAGCATCTTTCGGTCTCCATCTCCCCAGCTCTGGGATCGCAAGCATGTTGCTACTCTACCCAGATTTTGTATGTAGGTTCTGGAGATCAAACCCAAAGCCTTGTATTTCCATAACAAGCACTTTACCAACCAACCGAGCCATCTCCTGGACCCAAAAGTTAAGTTTTCTTGTTCTCTTGAAGGAACCTTATCAGTACAATCCAGGACCTATGGAGTCTTGGCTCCTCAGGGTGGGCATACAGAAGTGTGGGGGTTGGGGGAGGCAGCAGAGTAGGCTGGGAACTTCAAAAGACAGAATTCATGGGAAATGCACCAAGGCAGGAGTCCAGGGTGTGGTGCCTGGGAAGACAAGGGGCCTGTTCTCCTCAAGGAAGACCCATCCCATCCCTGTAATCAGACTGTCTTTTCCGGAAAAGAAAGTCCAAACCCAGGCACCCCGCTCCCACCACAGGTGCATGTGAGCGTGCGCACACACACACACACACACACACACACACGCGCGCGCGCGCACACACACACATGCACACAATCCCTGGGCCTCTGACTACTGTCCCTCCACACCAGTGATGATAGTTGTCCCCTCCCCCACTTTCCCACTGAGCAAACAGCAAGCCCAAGGCTGGGCCTTTGGGGTGAGCAGCAGGCTGGGATTCTCTGCCACAAGCAGGTAGGTAATTAATGAGTGTGGGCTTTCAAAACAGCCCAGCATGTGTCCCAGGAAGGAGGTGGCCTCAAAAGGGGTCTCCTGTACAGCTCATTACAGCCACCTTATCGATTCTTCCATCATCCCAGAAAGCCTGCCGTGTCAGAATCTGTCCCTTGATGGTATTCGCAGGGGACACCTCCTTCTCCCAGGGGTGCTCCTGGCCACTAACAACCTTGCCCCAGCTGTATGAAAGTGTTCAGAGAAGTGTTCAGAGAAGCCAAACAGGCAGAGTCTGCTCATTTGTCCAACAAGAAGGAATAGCCCTACACACACACACACACACACACGCACGCACGCACACACACACATACACACATGCACGCGCGCCAGAATTGTGTGGACTGTGGACAGTTGCGTGAAAACAACCTTCTATAGCAGTCACTTCCAAGAACATTCGACTTCTTCCCTGTCTTTTCTTCAGCAAATCTTGGTGATGGGGTTTGTTTTGTACACATGCTTGCTTCCTTTTAATGATGAAAGGGTAGGTGGAAGAAGGTTATAGTCTGTAAAGGTCCTCACCCCACTTCTCACTAAAGTTACCCCCAATCTGAACCTAGGAGAGATCCCTTCTGTACTGAGATTACATACATACATACATACATACATATATACATACATCCTATCCCAAACCATCCTTCCTCCAGGACCAGCCTTTAACTCTAAGTCATCCCAGATTTCCCATTACCCCACATCTGGGAAATCCATTTTATCTAGCAATAATCTCAACTGTAGCCCTCCGAGTCTCTTCTTTCTCTTCTTCCTCCATGGATCCTGTCTTTCACTCCGTGTGTCTCTCTGCTCTAACTATGCTGTCAAGTGACTCTCGCTTACTTACTTGTAAGAAGTGGTATCACCCTCCAGCCTTAGCAAATTATCGCCCTCCCCCACCAGTCCTTCCATCTACCCCAGCCTAACATCATATCCCTTCCCCTTCCAGGCCTCTGGACCCTGGAGTACAAGCGGGAGCTCACCACGCCGCTGTGTATCGCTGCGGCCCACGGCCACGTGCTCTGCGTGAGACACCTTCTCAGTCGCAGCGCTGATCCGGATGCCAGCCCCGGAGGTCGTGGTGCCCTACATGAGGCCTGTCTCGGGGGCTATACCGCCTGTGCCCGGCTGCTGCTGCAGCATGGGGCAGACCCAGATCTGCTCAACGCGGAGGGCCTTGCACCCTTGCACCTGTGCCGCACCCCGGCCTCTCTGGGGTAAGACGCGCCCGCACTGCCGACTGGTCCTAGGACCCAGACTGGGGGGAAGGGGCGTTGGGGGGGTCTCAGGCGTAGACCCAAATCTGGCCTTTGGTCACATGCTTCCAGGCTGGTCCATACTTGCTTCTTTCCCCAGCCCATGACTAGATTAGGACCCTGACTCGACATCCCAGGCCGGGTACCTCTCTATCTCTAGTCCCCAAGCTGGAGATTTTCTGAATCTGATCCCCAGTCCAGGACCTATGTGCCCTAGTCCCCAAACCTGAGATTGTGACTCTAGTCCCCAGATCTGTCCCTACTCTCCAGGCCCAGGACCCTAGCCTACTCTCCACATCACAGAATCTGACCCTGATTCCCAGGCTTGGGATTCTAACCTTAATTCCCAGGTCTGTGATCCTGACTCCCAGCCCCAGGCTGGAATCTTTAGGGCCCAGGCTAGGATAGTCCCCAGGTCATGAACCCCGCCCCATGGGCCGCTGGACCGTCCCCGACCCCGCCCCGCCGGCGCGGCCCCGGGCAGGTTAATTAGCGCTTGATTGCGAGCGCGCGGGGCGCCACGCCGCGGTAATGAGCCTCTGATCACGGCCTGCAAACGCGGCGCTGAAGAATGCTAAAAGGCCACTGGCGGGGTTGGAAGCTGAAAAATTAGGGTTTTTAATGATAATTTTATGCAGAATAATTGTCACAGTGTGACATAAATGGTTAGCTCCTCGGGCGGGGGCTTCCGAGGCCCGCAAGGACTCCACTCGCCCGGGTTGCGCTGCCTGGGGTCGGGAGCAAAGCCCGCCCCCATCCCCCACCCCAACCCCACCGCGACCTTGGTGCTGCTGTTAGGGTTTCCTGCCTGTGTTGTGTCTCCCAACATTTCATTTCAAATGTTCTAGTCCCTGCTCTTGCGTTATAATTGCTTGACTGCTTTCTGTTGTGCCGGTAACATAAAATCACTTCCTTTCGTACTTGGATCATGCTGGGGTCCGCTGTTCCCCACCTGTCCAAAGTTAGGGTTCTTCCGCCCCAAGGGGCACGTGCAGGAAGCAGGAAGAAATATTAGCTGAGGGTTCAGAGTGGGGTGGGGGTGGGGGATGCAAGAGGCCCAAAGCTGTGAAGGGCATCAGTAAGTCGCATGTGTTTGAAAAGCCCAACACGTTCTAAAATTTCGTTTTAATAGAACGTCCTATCTAGATTCTTGCCCTCAACATAATTCTTCTGAGATACAGCCATGTTGCCCTGGGTTCATTCCTTCCCTTTTCATGCTGGGTAGTATTCCACGGTGTAGATATACCACAGTGTGTTTCCTAACTGAAAGATATTTGAACCCCTGGGAGAGGTAGTTCAGGTTCAGGCACTCACTGGCCTTTATGAGGCTCCGGGTTCGATCCCTAGTTACTGCAAAATGATGATGATGGAGATGATGGCGATGGTGGTGATAATAATGAAAGGCGTTGTTTACAGTTTGAGGCTGCTGCAAACAGCCTGTGTTTTTTGCGCCCTTCTAAAAGCGTTTTAAAATTTTGGGTAAACCTAGGGTTACAATAGCTAGCCCATCTGATGAGATTAAGAACGTCACCACGCTTATTTGCAAAGCTATGCATTACGTTCCCCTCAGCAACATGGGCATTTGAATCGCAGACACGCGGGCAGACACAGAAGTAAAAGCATCAAGGCTTCCGTTTGCATTTCCCCAATTATTTTATTCCCCAATTATATTGAATTATTCACAGATACTTAACGCCATACTTATCTGTCATCCGTATTTCTTCTTGGGTGAGCTCTGTGTTTGGATCCTTTGCCCAGATGTTCAATTCAGTTGTTTTCAGGTTAAAACCTCAAGATCTCTTTATATATTGAGAACGTGAGGCCCTCTTCACACCTGTGATTGGCGCGCACCATCTCCCAACCTCTACCTTCTGTTTTCTTCATGTCTGTAAAGACTAGAAGCTCTTCATTTCGTGATGGAGGAGGGTTATCTGTCTATTGTTACTTTCATTGGTTAATAAAGAGACTGCCTTGGCCTTTTTGATAGGCCAGCCCTTAGGTGGGTGGAGTAGACAGAACAGAATTGTGGGAGAAAGAAAGCAGAGGCAGGCAGTTGCCATGACTCTCCTCTCCGAGACAGCCGCAGGTTAGAGTCCTCCTGGTAAGCCACCACCTCGTGGTGCTACACAGATTATTAGAAATGGGTTAATCAAGATGTGAGAGTTAGCCAATAAGAGGCTAAAACTAATGGGCCAAGCAGAGTTTAAAAAAATACAGTTTCCATGTAATTATTTCGGGTAAAGCTAGCTGGGTGGTGGGACACAGTCCGCCGCTCCTTCTACAATTTCGATTAAAATTTAATTTGTCAATTTCACTCTTTTAGGCTATTTGATCTAAAACTTCTTTGCCTGACCCAAGCCCACAAAGGTTTTCTACATTCTCATCTACAAACTTAAACCTTACAGTCCTACCTTTAAATCTGGATTCATTTTGCCCAGACTGCAACCACCTCGAGTTTTGAGGCCAAAGCAACTCCAGATACTTAGTCCTGCAGTTTCTCAGGACCGGGAATAGACAAGAGCACTCTAACCGTGTGAGAGGGTCCGCACTCAGAACATGGCTGCAGGAGTGTGTCTGGCTCTTTGCTGACAGCCTAACATAAATTAGATCCATTCCCACAGCCGTGAACTCACAGGGGTCCTGTTTCTGATTAAACCAAACTTGCCAAACTTGCTACCTCTGAGGTCACAGTTCACTTCCTAGGTCCCCAGCAATTGTATACAGACGCAAAGCCGCTGGTTCCCCTGTCTCCTTTCTTCTGTCTCACAGCACCATGGGGCCTGCGGTCATACACTGCAGACTGAGCTGATCCAGAAAAATCTGTGACCCATTTTGAGCTATTTCTGAATATGGTATGAGGGGTGACCAAAGTGACTGGTGTGTGTGTGTGAATATGTGTGAGTGTTGAGAGTGTGGGTGAATGTGTGTGAGACTGTGAGTGCATGCATGCACACATGCATGAGTGTGTGCATGCATGCGTACATGCATGTGTGTGTGTGTGTGTTTGCTTTCCCATATGGATATAAAAGTGTTTCGGCAGCAGTTCCTCTGGCTTCTTTCCCTTAGCATATTTTCTTGAGGTACACCCATGCTGTTGTGTACAGCCCATTCCCTTTTCATGCTGGGTAGAACTTCAGACCATGAAATGCTAGTTGGAAGGGTCCTCCACCAGGATAGCAGGGTGATCTACCAAAACTTAGCTTCAGAAGTGCATCACCCCTTCTGGTGTCAAAGCCCCTTCCTTACTCTACCCAGCTGGCTTCGCGTGTTGCTCAAAAGTCAATTAATCAGGACTGAATAGATGCCCCATCCATAAAGTGCTTGCCTTGCAAGCATGAGGGTTGGAGTTTGATCATCAGGAGTCATATTTAAATTTAAATAAAAAACATATTTATTTTTCTTTAATTACTTCTTTTATGCTTTTGTAATTATAACATAATCGTGCAATTTTTTTCTTTCCCTTTCCTCCCTCCAAATGCTCTGGCATGCACTTATAATCCTGATACTGGGAGGCAAAGGCATATGGATGCCTGGTGCTCACTGGCTGACCAACCTAGCTTACTCAGTGGGTTCCAGGCCAATGAAAGACTCTATCCAAAAAAAGGGGGGGTTGGGGACAGTTCCTAGAGAATAACACCTGAGGCTGACCTCTGACCTCCACAGACAAGCACACACACATACACAAATCAACTGACTGTTCATATCCGGGGTCATTTATAGACTCTCATGCCAAGTACACACAAAATAATATGCAGCCTTGCTGGTTTAAACCGTCACAGCACCACAAGCCATCTTGCTTCATAAGCACAGAGAGGAAGAGCTTCCATGGGTGGCAGCTTCCCACAGTCCTCTTCTCAGATCAAAGAGATGAGTGCCGGCCCTGTGAGGAGAAGGGTAGCCCGCTGTGAGCAACCAGATCTGGACTTGCCCTGAGCAGCTTCCATCTGTAGCTCTGATCTAAAGGGAGCTAGGAAAGAAGCCCCACAGCTCCTCAGAACCCAGGAATGGACAGGAACTTGCCCCATGATCGCCATTAGGAAGGCAAGTGGTCTTGTGGTGGCTCCTCATGAGGATTCAAGAAGACGGTGGGGTGTTCCACTAAGACTGTCTCAGCAATCAGCCAATATGGCCACACACAAAGTGGCCAGGATGGAAGAGCCATCCTCCCCCTTGTCTCTATTCTAGCTTATGGATCTAGTCATCTATTTTTAGACCCACACAACACTGCCTTGACCGTTACAACTGTGTAGTAGACCTTAAGATAAGAGTAAGCCGGGGCTGGAGAGATGGCTCAGAGGTTAAGAGCATTGCCTGCTCTTCCAAAGGTCCTGAGTTCAATTCCCAGCAACCACATGGTGGCTCATAACCATCTGTAATGGGGTCTGGTGCCCTCTTCTGGCCTGCAGGCATACACACAGACAGAATATTGTATACAAAGTAAATAAATAAATACTAAAAAAAAAAAGATAAGAGTAAGCCCTCAAACGTTATTTTTTGAACTGTTTTGGCTATTATAGTTCATTTGCATGTCATTTGAATTTTAGGTTCAGTTGGGCACCTCCTACATGCTGCCTGCTGGGTTTGACTGGGGCTGCCCTGAGTATATACATCAGTTTGGAGAGAGTAAACACCTTACACAAATGTTTAGGCTTAGGTTTTCAACATATGGATATAATTCACCCTCCCATTTACTTAGATCATATTTTATTTCTCCCAACTGTGATTTGTAGTTTTCAGTGAAGGGGGCTTGCAAATAAATATTGTGTAAGATTTATTCCTGATTCAAATGTATGCACATACACATATATATGTACATGTGTGTATGTGTGTGTGTGTGTGTGTTTGTGTATTTGCTTGCTGGTTACTTGAAGGGATATGTCCCGCGCTACCTTCTTGCCAGCAAGAACGACGCGGGGCACTTAGGATCCTTCTGCAGTAATAGCTTTAATCCTCTTGGGAGC